AACTCTAAAAATCAACCCTCCCCTCTAGTGCGTTCTGACAAGGAAATAAAAATTACCGTTGTCGAAATCTCAGCTGAACTTTTTATCCTCTTTAGGGGCACCCTTCTTAAAAGATCGGTTTATCCCTTTAGGTCTTTTCTGGACAATTTGTCGTTTTAGTATTTGGTTTCCGAAAAAAAGAAAAAAGAAGAAAAAAAGAGTTCCTTTTCATTAGCTTCCGTAGAAAAAACTGATTTAATATTTTAAATTTTATTTTATTTTATTTTTGTACTGATACGATAATAATTAATTGATTCTGTATTTTTCTGTTTGTTAACTGTTCAAATTTATTTTTGCTTTATTTTCAATCTTTTGTGGGGTGTTGGTGTGATGAGGTGTCTACTGGATATGACGGGTCTCTTTTACGAAGGGGGTTGTTGGAAATTAGTCCTCTCGTTGGATCTATACAGCCATACAAATAAAAATAACAATAGAAGAAAAAACAAAGTAATATTAGTAGATAATTAACATCATAGTTTATATTAATTTGTTACAAACCTTCAGTTTCAACTGCAAGTTCTGAAAATTATACTAATATCTCTCAATATTCTACAAAACTTCCAAGTTACTGCAACAATGACTTTTGACTTACTAAGAATCCACAACAATGACTATATCTAAGTTCTCTCGGCCCAATATCTCTCTCGAGCTCAAAAGAAGAATTGCAGTCTCATCTCTCTCACTTCTTCTTTGTTATTTTAGAAGAATAGAAAAAACTATCATTTAAATAAGAAATGCCTTGGAGACTTTGTTGGTTTGCGGCTCTATCATCCTAACTGGGTGCCATGACGCTCACTATCCAACAAGGCGACGCTTCAGTCTTAGCACCTGCATGGTAAATTGTGCCTAGGCACCCATTTATAGAGCTTAAGAGTAGTCTTATGAGCTTCTTGGCTCCATCATATGCAACTCATATAATTCAACCTCCATGCAATTCATATTTCTTCATTAYAAACTAAGAAAAAGAAATAAGAAACATGAATGTTACCAATTCATGGATGTTGAGCTCTTAATTTTAAGGTCCATTTCATTCATAATATTTCTCGTATTTGCTGACAATAAAATAAAATAAAACGTCAAAAAAAAAATTCATTTTTTAGTTGTTGAGGTAAAATTACTTCCAAAGAAAAAGCAAGATGGTGTTGAGTTAAAGCTCATGTCGTAAAAAAAACTCTCCAAAGTTAATCATAAGTAGTTGAAACATATTTTGAAAAGATGTACTTGATAAGATATAATAAACCAAATGAGCTTGATGAACAATAATATAAAATCCTGATATTTTAATAATTTAAATATCTAGATTTTTCTTTAAACAACCATAAATTAGATATCTTAGTTTCTTTTTTCTTTCTAACCAACAAATATTGGAGGTGGATATTTTAGCCGCCTTCCATCTAAAAAAAAGTTAGATGATTTTATCATTGAATTATAATTCTGTTGATGGGTAGGGTCAAACAAACTATAATCTAGGTGAGAAATAAAAATTAGGGTATAATGGTAAGGGAGGGAAATATTAGGGTAATTGTGATTATTGATGAACTATTGTAAACAGGACAAACGATGCGTGGAAATAGTGTGCTCAATTGAAAAAGGGGTTCATTTCATCTTTAATATGATAAAAAGAAAAAAGTCCCAAATGGCAAAATGGAATAAAGTTGTCAAATTGTGGTCAAATCGCATTCATAACATCCAAAAAATCCGATGAGAAAAAAGCAAAGGTTCTGCAAATCCCATATCTTTAGATATTTTATGGTAATTTAACATGATATCTTTGCAATGTCATTAGGATTTAGAAGACGATATTCCCATACAATTTGGTTAATTCACTGAAAATTGAAGACAGAGAATGAGTGACATGTGGAGAAGAGAGAGATAGGTGGTGTTTGTTTCGAGGAGGTTTTGGTTTGTTTAAGATAATGTTAAAACTTGTACGACAGCAACACAAAAAATGGCAAAAAACAAGGAACTTTGTACCATCGTATCACGTTAATAAGCTTAAGCCCATTGTTTTGTTTTGTTTTTTTTTTTTACTACTAATTCCTCACATAATCCAAGTGTTCTTCCTTACTGTTTGTAACAAAAATCTATCTTCCCTTTTGCTTTTTATTCATCTTCATTCCCCAATACAATACAAGTTATAAACAAATACAATTATCTTTTTGTTTTTATTAGAAAACCAAAAAGCATATGTTCTTGTTGTTATATTATTTGTTAACGAGTGCTGAGATTAATATTGTTGTAACCATTCAGACAAAGATCTCTTAAAAATATCTTGATGAGACCACCATTGAATTTTTAAAATTATCTTCCAATGCTTTTTTCTAAATGATTAAACAAGTGTGATTAAGAGATCATAAGGGATTAGCAATGAAATAGTGGATTTTCCACACTAATGTGGGGACGTTTGGGTCTGTTATTCATAGAAAAATTAGTTACACATATTTAATAGGAAAGATTTAGACATATACTAACTTTGATTTTAGTTTCAAAAAAAATAAAAAATAAAAAAAAAACTTGACATCAACTGGGCATAATTTTCATCAAACTTTTGTCGCATTCCCAATATTATTAGATATTTAGATATTTTTTAAACTTTAAAATATAACACTAATTAAAATCTCAAAAACCAAACTTTATAAAGTAAAAGAAAATAATATAATGCGAATTACACTGAGCATAAAAAGATGGGTAGGTATATATATATATATGAATAGGTAAGCTGCTATATTAATATGCGTGCAGAAAAGGTATTATCCGATTCCATGTTAGTTCTTGATGCAGAGTCCCCCACTTCAGTGTGTGCCTCRTTTAATTTACTTTATTCTTTGTTAATTACTTGTAATTGAATATGCCCTTTTTCTTTTTTTCTGAATCCTATGTCCAAATCGATGCCTGCTTTGCATCGCTGTACTCGGGATCATCTCTTCTCTCTCTTCCAGCCTTTACTTCTGTAACATTTCTGTCATGTCATGGGGAATTGATTCTGAACAATTGAGACATTATCATTGAAACTGTAAAAAGCAATACGGAAAAAAGTATTGGGGGAAGTGCAGTAAGATTTGATTTAAATTCGAGCAGATTCGCACCCCATCCATTAAGTTTTAAAAGGCAACATCAGCCACTGTGTGTCACCATCATGCCATTAATTAAAATTCGGTTCCAATGTTTTTATGACCCCAAAAAACTTAAACTTAACACCCATGGGATTGGAGCCTGGAGGATAGTGGATGTGGAAAATGCCATTTCTTCCAACAATCATCCTTCTTGTGGTGCTCATCATTTGAACATTTACTTGTCTTAAATTTTAATGCAATGTTGAGCATTTGGGAGAGCTCAAAGTCGTGGCTGAGCTAAGATTGAGGTGCCACTTACTTCTATTATTTATGTTTGCGGCAGCCTTTATATTTATATGATTGCTCCTTATTTGAATTCCACACTCATTCCTTTCCCAATAGGCCAATACAACGACAAGTGATTGAATATACATAATGGGTCTCGAAAACAACCATTCGGCCGTGTTTCAAAATGGTCTAGCAAGGGATGCTCGCTTGTTGGGCCATAGCTATCGATGGCTTTACTTTAGACCTTTTTTCACTTATTTAATTATTAGCACTACAAGTACGGAAATGAACCTTTGACATATATGCCTTAGTCTATTGAGCTTTATATGTTTGAGTTGGTAATCCTTTTTTAACTCATTAATTTGATTGGTACTCATATTGATTTTATAATAATAAAACATCATAATCTCCCAATTGAGTTCATATGGACATGTTTACAATTTGTAGTTTTTATAATCTAAAGCTCTCATTAAATACATATTTACTACATATTTAAAGCTCTCTTTTAAAAAATGCTCTCCATTAGAATGGACAAGGAAGATCCACACTGAGTCGGCCCAGTACATATCAAGTGGAATAGCTGGCGGTTCAGGCCCAACTGGATTTGGGCCTTAGATGGGCTAGTGAATCAATATGATTGGACCCACGTCTTCGAAAGTAATTGTTATTATTTCTTTTTTCTTTTTCCTTTTCGGTACATAGTATTTCACTTTTACCCTTAATCTTGTTTACTCGCAGCAAATTTAATCATAAACCTTCCATGCCCTTAGGCTAGAATGCATTCAGACACTAACCAAAATCGGAAATGTATTTTGATGCGGTGCTGGTTCAATGTCGTACTAGTTAATATTTGTAGGGTAGATTTGATAATTGGCACCAATTAATGCATATGACTCTAAATTTAGAGGGGCATAATTGATAATATTATATAAGTAGATTAATTATATGGTCAACATGAGCCTAGTTTAACTTGTTAAAATGATTATGATCGTCTATCGATCACTTTAGAGTGGAAAATATTTTATTTGAATACACCTTGATTGATTCGTGCCTGCTAATTTTGTCTCATATATGGATCTCACAGTAAAACCTCAACGTACAAATGAAAGGTAATCAAATTTTAATATGAAAGAGAATGTACATATTTTCAAAATATCTATAGTTCATTAATACCACAATTCCGGGTTTAATTAAATATACAAAAATTTACATTTTCTGATTTCTTTTTGAGAAGCACATTTTCAGATAATATATTTCTTTATATACTTTATAATAAAAAAATTTATAATATTAAATCAAATCTAAGTACTTATAAAGATTGCTTTCTCAACTTATAATAATGGATGAGAAAAAAGTCGAGGAACATGAAATTACGCAAAAACCACGCAGTTCGTAATCTCAAATAAAGAAAAGAATATTCTTTAGGGAATTTGGATGATTTAAGTAAAAAGAAAAACAATTTTGGTCTTGGTAAACCCGTTGAAGTAGATCAGTAGCAGCTACCAAATCCAACGAAAGCGGCCGGCCGAGGTCGGCTTTCATAATTACATTCCATTACATTACATGTGGCAAAATTTCAAACATTAGTACGTCGGTTTAAAAGAGGAAACTTTCACTAGAAATTAGATATCTAATTAACTTCAGACAAAATCATGGGATCATCTTTCAGCTGCTGTGGTTCAGAAAGATCAGTAGATCGAGGGTTTGTCTGAAAAACCAACGCCTTAGATGGATAAATTTTTCTTTTATTTTTGTTGATGAATTTAATTGTGTGTTGTAGGATCGCCGGGGTTAACAATAATTCATGGAGGATTTTTACGTACAAGGAGTTGCATACGGCTACGAACGGTTTCCATGAGGACAACAAACTCGGGGAAGGAGGATTTGGAAGTGTTTACTGGGGAAAAACAAGCGATGGGCTGCAGGTAAATTGCCATAAAAATAATGTAAATGAAAGAAAAAGAAAAAAAAAAGAAGAAGATGAATTTTTGATAATTGGGTTTGTGGCAGATAGCGGTGAAGAAGCTGAAAGCGATGAATTATAAGGCAGAAATGGAGTTTGCAGTGGAAGTGGAGGTGCTTGCGAGGCTAAGGCACAAGAACTTGTTGGGTTTGAGGGGTTACTGTGTGGGGACTGACCAGAGGCTTATAGTTTATGATTACATGCCAAATCTGAGCTTACTGTCTCATCTCCATGGCCAATTTGCTGCTGAAGCTCAATTGGATTGGAAAACAAGAATCAAGATCGCTCTTGGCTCTGCGCAAGGCATTATGTAAGTATTTTCAGTCCTCTGAAATTTTCCTACGATTATATTGTGTCAATCATTTCTTTGTTTTTAGAAAATAAACTTTTTTAAATCAATCTTTGTTTCTCTGTTTTTTGTATATGAGTTGAAAAGGTTCATCGAATTTCAGTTAAGTTTTAATAAAGCTAAAATTAGCTAGATTTTAAAACATGTTTTTATTTGAGGCAAAAGAAAATTTTTCAAAACTTGCATTATCAAACAGAAAATATCTTATCCTTTATCCTTTAGAGGTCGTAGAAAGTTTAGAATCTTAATGTGTTTGAAAAAAAAAAAAAGAAAAGAAAAATTTGTGACTTTTTTTAAAAATACACATTAAATTTATGCTATAGAGTAAAATATTCTAGATAAATATAAAAGTAAAATTAGTATTAAACAAATATTTGTAGGTTCCAATCTCAATCTGTATTGAATTTCAATTTTCGATTGGATGTTCATTTGAGTTTTTGGATTCTGATATTATCTTAATATTCATGGTTTCCATCTCAAAATCAATTCATTAGGATAGGAGTACCTCGCTTATATTATAAACTTTTGTTGGTCATTCTAAATGTCAGATACTTAACACGGAGAACAAAAATTGAATAGGTTGATGTTGTTAATTATGTAGGTATTTGCACCAAGAGGTAACACCCCACATAATCCACAGAGATATCAAAGCAAGCAACATTTTGTTGGATTCAGATTTTGAGCCACTTGTAGCTGATTTTGGGTTTGCAAAACTAATACCAGAGGGCGTCAGTCACATGACAACTCGAGTGAAAGGAACCTTAGGATATCTTGCTCCCGAATACGCCATGTGGGGTAAGGTTTCAGAGAGTTGTGACGTTTTTAGTTATGGGATTCTTCTGCTAGAGCTCATGACAGGAAGAAAGCCAATAGAGAAACTTCCTGGCGGAGCAAAGAGAACCATTATTGATTGGGTTGACACAATGATAAACAAAGGCAGGTTCAAGGATTTAGCTGATCGTAAGCTAAAGGGACAGCTTAATTGGAAGCAGTTCGAGCACATAATCCATTTGGCAATCATGTGTGTGCATCAGGACCCAAATAAACGGCCTACCATAAAAGAGGTGGTGGAGAGTTTGAAAGGGTCGATGCTTGATAATGGAGAACACAAAGGAAACGTTAAGGCAATGCCTATGAGTGTCCAAAGTGTTAAATATATTGACCATGAAGAGGTGTTTGAAAATGATCGTGTGATCATGAGCAAAGAAGATCGTGGAGCTGGCCCAGAAGAAAGCTTTGATTATGGGGTTTTCAGTGCTATTGAAGAGCAGAAGATGAGAGATTGGAGAATGGTTCAGAAGATATAAGCATATGTCAAGCAAAATTTAATCCATCTTATGGTTAATATAAACATATAGGAAAGCGGATGTTCTAAGTGTTTTGTTTTGTTTTTGAGTTTCCCATCTATAATTCTCTTTTACATGAAATATATTTTTAATTTATTAATGAAGACATTTAAGTGCCTATAACATCTTTGAGAAACATACCAGCTTGGTAGTTGTTCAAGTCTGTCGTAAGTCATTTTCATGAAATGTTTCTAAAATTGTGTAGAAAGTTTGAAAACAAAAGTCAGTTTCTTTTTTTTTCTCATTTTAAATTTTAACTCGAACATAAAGAAAAGTATTATTTTATCATTATTGACTTGTACAAATGCATAAAAGATATAAAATACTAATTTGATCGTTTTACTTTCAACTTGGTTCATTTCGTTCCTGTGTGTACTTTCAAAATATTCATTTTGATCGTTATACTTTCGACTTTGGTTCATTTTAGTCCTTTACTTTGAAAATAATCATTTTGGTCCTGTCGTTTTATTTTTAATCTCATTTTTCTAACACAATTTCAACACGATATTACAATTAACATATTTCTTGAGATGTAAACGCCACTTTACACTTGCCTTTTTTAGAACAATTTTAAAACTTTCTTATTTGGTTTTTTAAAAATTTTTACATCGTTTCATATTACCACTAAAAAACTTCATCAACTTTCATTCTATTTAAAATTTATGAATGAAAACCGTAAATATTTAACTCAAACTCATAAAGATATTTCATTATTATTATTATTTTTTTGTATAAAACTAATCTTCTTTTTATATTTTATTTCAACTTTTAAATATGTCTAAAAAGAAAGAGAATGATCGATATTGATAATAGTTTTCTAAGGAAGGAGAAGCGAGCATGACAGTAAATAAATGCGATCATTTGAATGATATTTTCTCCAAACAAATATATATGATAAAGGTATAAAATTATCTTAGGAACGCATCATCCGACTAAAAGCTACGTGTACGAAACTCGTAAGACGAGAACTTGGTAACCAGTTTGGAATAATGTTTGGGCAATGAAATTGCCAGACTTGACTGTATCGATCCAAACTCGATTATAACATTCGGATCAATAATTGCTCAACTGGTAAAAATAATTGGCACCGTCTTTGTGTAGGATTTTAAACACTGCTGCTCTTTTCTTTTCATGATATATTAATTAACGAAAATCTCTCTGTATGATCCATGTTTGTGAATCTTGAAACATAAATACCATGATATCTCGAGATCATTTAATTTAAAAATATAATAACATTTTTGTGTTTCTAAGTAAATTGTGGAAAGGCAAAGACTGTTCGACTTAGTTGAAAATCAAAATAAGTATTTTGAAAGTTAAAAAATCAAAATAGAATAATTCAAAAATGGTATAGAATTCAAATACCAAAAGCAGAGAGGTGGCTGACCAAAATAAGATTCAACACATATTAGAAACAGTTATGGGTTTCTAAAACTGGGCATCCATGTAAAAACTAAAAAGTAATCAGCGACATGTCGTTCCACTCTACTGCTCCTTATCCTACCAATAATTGTTGTGTCTGTGTCTGTGTCTGCGCTCGAAACTACAAGAGTTTGGGTATGGGTTGGGCTGGGCTGGGCTGTGCTTGGATGGTGGATGACGTGGACTGCATATTGGTACCACGAGGATGGCACATGTCGGCCAACCCGCAGCTGACAAGGACCACGCCGCATGTGAACACCCCATGGTGGAGGCCCTACCTCACCATCCCACTTGCCAACATCCACATGCATTCTAATTATCTCACATTTTCCATTGAGTTATGTTTAGGTTGATGATTATAATTTATAGATTATTCTTACTTCATAAAATCTCAATTAAATATCTAATTAGTAATTCCAATAATAGTCATCACTTTGTTTTTTTCTTTCTATCAGGGAGAGAGGAGGAGGAAAAATAGTAGAGAGAAGGGCACTCCTCTCTCATTCTCTCGGCTGTAGTGCCTGGATTTTGTTGCTGGAAGATTGAGAATCCATGTGAGAAGATCACATAACGAAAAACGGTCGCCAGAAAAATAGCAACTTCAACAATTTGCCTTGTAAATTACGGAAAGATCAAAAGGTGCTAGTAGAGAGAGAAACATTCCTTGACTAAAATGACCCTCTTTTCATGGTCCTCTATGATTGGCCTGCCTGATCAATAACTGTCAAGTTTCCGCAAATACAGTAAATTAACTATTTCGTAAAAAACATAAACCAGCTAGCATAAATGCTTTAACTTTATAACTCTCAAATTCCATCCGACGCAAATTGCATCTATATTTTTTATTTCTTTTCTTTTCAGCAAAGAAGTTAGGGTCGAGGATCAAACTCAGAAACTCTTGATTGAAGATATATATCAATTACTGAGTTATACTCGTTTTGACTCAATCTTTATTCTCTATATTTTCTTTTTAATTTGATAAAGTTTGCATTAAGTGTAACACAGATAAACTGTAGTGTAATAATTATTAAGAAACTTTAAGAATGAAATAAAGTTGGGTGGATAAGTTAAAATTGATGTCTTTCTAATTGAAATTAGATTCCCTTCTTTTAACGCATACAAATATATAATTGAACTGAAAAACATAAAAATATATGACCCAATTTTGAAATTGACTACATAAAATTTGGTTATCTAAATACACACGATTCAAACCAAACCATTATGAAAGATGTCAAGTGAAAATTTTCATTGAATGAAAAGGTCTGAGAAATATTATTCGACATGATTGACTTTTGAATAATATAATTATGACTAGATATTTCACCTCTCCACTATTCTTCAATTTCGACTTGTCAAATCCCGGAGGTTTATAAAAAAAAAAGGATGTCAAATTAGAGCATAAACGTTAACCTATTAAAATTTCGGAATCTTACTTGGATATCATGAGAATTTAAATCGAAAATTAAAAATTGAGTTATTAAAATAGTGTAGAATTTATTAAATATCTAACTTATTCTAAAAATACATCCCAATAATCTATTTTTATCAGTAAATATAAGTGGAAATTTTCACATTTACCTTTGAACTTTGTAAGGTAATTTTGACTATAAATTTTCAATTTTATCCCATTGGACTTATTCTTGAATCATTTTTTACCTCTCCGTTGAAGTTTTCGTTGGAACAATTGTTAAAAGATGTTGTTAGGTGTGCTTAATGAATTATAAATAGAGACATGATATGAACTTCATGGGCTTTAGAGAATGATAGCATTTTATCGGCTTGTTGGTACAATTAACTTGTGATCTACGGCAATTCTTGTTTTCTGATTGGACAGTTGATTAGATCTAGTATAAGACGACCGTAGGAATCGACAGAAAAATATTGATGAGTTTTAAGAGATTTATTCTTTATGATTTCGTTGAATTTAGTAGATTTTTATGAGATTATATTATAACTGTGTTTGATTTTTTTGAGAATTTTTTTTTTTAAGTTAGCGACAGTGAATGCAGCGAATTCTAAGAAAATATAAAAATAACATTTATAATTTGATGAGATAGAAAGTTTAGAGTAAAAATTTATTTTCGTGCTTAAGCTTTAGGTTAGAAATTGATATTTTTTATAAATATAAGTAAAAGACTAATCTACCCTTTAAAATTAAAATCGATAAACCATTAAATTACTATTTAATAGAAGTAAATATAAAATAATTACCCTAATTAAAAAAGATTACAATAATTCTTTTCACTATTATTTTGAATATACTTTACATCTTTTAAACTTTTAGAATAATTCTCATTGATTGTTCTATCTTTTAAGGACATTCCGTGGGAATCTTTTTAGATAGTATTAAGTAGTGATTTGTGTGGTACAAGTGTCATGAATGTCACATTTATCACCCAATGTGACATTATATAGATATTTTTTTTCTCTTTTGTAAAAGAAGTTGAAGCCAACCACTTTCTTCCAATAGGAATAACTTTCTTTTAAAGAAGTAAAATAAAAGGGAGAACTCGCATTTAATTGAAAAAAAAAACGACTTAACTAATCTTCGATAGTCAAATTCAAAATCCATGTTAACATACATCCACAGCCAAAACGTTAGGAGTTTTAATTCACCTACCCCACACTTTCATAGTCAATGCTATGCAATTTATACTGTGTATCTTTATAACTGGAACTATTTGTCTAGGTTGAACAACAGTGTGACCAACGCATAGTTCAAACACAATATCTCATAGTAGATGATACCATAAGACTTCAGATCCTTACCTTACCAAATGCACCATCTCCAGAGGACCCCACCCTGTACTCTTCTCGAAACGAAAATGCCTCCTTTTGAGTTTGAAAAAAAAAATACTAAAAAGGCCCCTATTTTTCTCTGGAACGAGTGGGAACTTATTTTAATATGTATGATATATCCCTATATTGCTTGATATTTTTTTTGTTATAAAATAATTTTTGGTCCATATGAATGATGGTCTCTAAACTTTTTTTAACGATTTAGCATGATATAATAATTTAATCCATGAATTTTAGTATATAACAATTTAATTCATGTAGTTTTAAAACTTGTAACAATTTAGTCTCTATTATAAATAAAAAATCTCATCAAAATTAAGTATTGATTTTTGTTAGATAACAATTTAAGCGTTCTAGTTTATAATAACATTTGGTCTCTCATCATTTTATCGATCTACATGTATATACAAAACTCCATTAAATCTTTATGTTTATCAATATTTTTTACCATAGAGACTAAATCGTTATAAAATTAAAGTATATAAGAATTAAATTATGACATATTAAAGTTGGAAGACTAAATTATAACAAATTTGAAATTACAAGAATTACATCATTACAAACTAAAGTTTAAGACTAAACCGTTAATTCAATAAAAGTACATGAATCAAAATTGATTTTTAACTTAATTTTTTTTTTTTATCAACATCAATGTTCAAAATCTTTACCATACTCATAAATCTATTGTTTTTAATCATCTAATAATCCTCTGTAAGAATACTCTAATATGCCGTAAGATACCTTTGTTTATAGACAAAATTTTGCTCTCGCATTGAAATATCCCAAAAACGCGAATAAGAGGACGTCTTATATTGCTTAGCATTAGTATCTGCCTCCTGAACATAGTTCTAAATATCTATCGACAGGTCGACATTTCCATGGACATATCCATATTTCCATAGATTTGACATCGACATGAGGGGTAAATCTACCTTTCCATCATAATACAATAAAATCGACAAAATATGAAAAATATCAACAAAATGTCACTAATATATACCTAATATGAATATTAATTATTTTTAACTAATTTAGAAATAGGGAAATGTTTATTTGTTAATTTAAATATCTTTTACGATTTTTTAATTTTTTTTAACTTTTATAGAAATATCCATCAATATCGACATTTTATCGATATTTCCATGAAATTGATATCTCGACATTTCCATCGAAATTGACATTTAAAACTTTCCTCCTACGAAGGAAAAAAAATATTCCCCCCAAATGTCATAACATACTCTTGGGTTTTGTTTGTACGAAAAATATTCCTGGAATTATAGAAGTCTTGTTTTTATGTACACCTTTGAATATCTCTCGGTTGGTTTAGATATTGGAAATTGGTGAACCGATACGAATCTTTCAATTCGCATTATAAAAAGCAGGGTGGAAATTCGGAATAAAATGGTCCAATTCCAACTCGACTACTAATAATTAGATGGTCCAATTATTAGAACCAAAGTGGAGGGCGGTTGAATCAAATCGGCCTAAAGTATCTTTGGAAAAGTTTTTAGAAAAGCTAAATATGACCACCTGCCCCTCTTCCCAAACCCGTGAAAGAAAAATCTCACCAAGTTTAAAACTTAAAAAAGACTTAAAACTCCACGTGATCCCACTTTTCTCGGAAACTTATCCAAACCGACAACTTTCTCAACTCTCAAACAATAATTACACCACCTCCCACCAATCCCCACTCGCCACCTATACATTATATTCTAAGTCAACAATTCTATTATTACCCCAATGGATCATTTTAACAAGTCAATTTAATTCATACAAGCTCTACCGCACCATTAAATCTCATCAATTAGACACCAATTGCCAAACCCATATGGATCTTCGCAAATAATAAAACATATATATATAAACTGTTGGCCACTAGAAATGGAGGAAAAGATTTGAGAGAGAGGGGCAAATCGGTTATATTTGCGAGGAGAAGAGGGTGAAAAAAACAAAGCAACTTGTGGTAGCGTAAACTAGGCTCTGCATTCAGAGCAGAGGTAAGGGGCGTGCACGTGACACCCATGCTCCTGCAAATCGACGGCTAAAACTCCGCCCATCACATCAAACACATACTTCACATTAATCTACCGTTAATTTATTAAGGTGCACAATAAGAATTATAAATCTACGCAGCACTGGATTCCGACGCTTTACTTCACTTCCAGTCGTCGTCCTCAAAACGTTGGAACGACGCCGTATTGGGCGTCGCCCAAGAACATAGACGAACCACCCGAGCCATACATTTCGTCCACCTCCGTTAGCATATCGGTACGTTTTGCGAACCGGCCCTTGATTCTGGGCCGGGTTTCTGCGTAAGCTTTTCTGGAAGCGTACCGGATTGTCTTCTCGAACTTCCGGTTCTTCCTTTTCTCTCTGTACCTCAACACTCTCGCCTCCCGATCCATTCCACACAACTGAGTCGCTTGGTTTCCGGATCCCGACATCGCTAAACCCGAATCCCCCATGGTTTGACCCGACGGGTACGATATCTCCGACATCGAATTCCCTTCTGGAACTACTCCAACCTCTAGGGAAGAGGACGACATCTGAATCAAATTAGAACAAACACGACTTAATTAGTTTACTCGACGAATCAATTTTGGGGCCAATTAAGAAAATTTTTGTTTTAATTGGAGTTGGGGGTTGGGCTATTTACGCTGTGGCTCAGGGATTGAGATTGATAGCCGAATGAATTGAGCTTGGATCTGCAAAAATCGATGTCGAAGCAATTTTCAGGGGTAGAGAGTGGCTTCGTCTGAACCGGGACGACGCTGTCGTTAATTGCGCTCTGATTGACTGGATTTGGATAGTCAAAATCAATAAAAGAATCCATTTCGTTTTCAGTGAAGAAGATATCCCCGCCGGCGCCGGCCTTGATTTCGGGGCCGTCCACGAGCTTAGAGTTGAAAGGGGGGTTGGACAAGAGCCAGGACGCTACCTCCACCTCCTCGTGGTGGCCGTCGCACCCACTGACGTTGGTCTCAGCGGGGAGGAGGAAGTTGAAAACCGATGAGCTGGCTTTGACCACCGACTCGGCCGTGTCGAAAAAAGGCTCGACGGGGACCCGCTCGTGGCGGCGAGCTAGTGGGTTGGCGGAGTGAATATCGGCGTCGCAGGTGACGCAGAGAGCCGCAGCATCGGCCTTGCACATGACGACGGCGGGTGCCTGTTCGCAAACCTCGCACATCCAGACGCGGTCGTGGCGTGAGGAGAGCTTATTGGCGCAGTGGATTTTGGCGTCGCAAGTGAGGCAGAGAAAAGCGGAGTCGGGTCTACAGTAGACCGCGGCCGGGCCGGTCTTGCAGGAGTCGCATGGTTTAGCGACAACGCCCCATCCGCATCCGCCACCGAAGCCCTTTACAACACTCTCTCCCTCAAGTCCCAATCCCATAGCTCCCGCCACGAAAGCTGCTACTGCTGCTACTCTGCTGCTGTTTACAAATTAAAATTCCCCACAGAGCTAAGCAAATGACCTGCCGGCGTGGCAGCGGGAGAGCGCGCCTGTTGTAGACAGACTTGGAAATAAATTTGGTGTCTGGATTTGATTTTCACAATAGGTGCTGTGTTTTTCTGCAATCTATATCTATCATCAGCCTGCCCAGTTGGGGGAAGGAAATCTGGGTGCTGACGAGTAGGACAATGCCACGTGGTGAACTCTCTGCCACTTAAAATAATATATACATTTTCATTTTAGTTACAAGATTGATGAGGAGGATTAGTAGTTGTCGTGTGTCTGTGCCGACGTAGGGCCCACTTGTGAAAGTGGACACAATTTTACGATTTTCTCATTCAAGGCGGACGGTGACGTTGGCCGAAGCCAGCGACAGGCTAGAGTTGGCGTTGGCAACCCATGCCAATAGCTATCAGGATTCTAATACATATCTGCTCATTTCTTACTAGAGGGAAAAATTGTTAATATTTATGGAGTTTATATTAAAATTAATTAGAAATAGGAAGGGTAATTTATGTCTCTTTGTTATGTCTTTTCTTTTTTCGAGATATGATCCTTAGCAATAAATTTATCCATGAGATTAACCCTATAAGAATCATACTTAATTAGCTATTGATAAATTAACATAGACATGTATTTATTTTTTTACAAGATAGGAAAATGTATTGTTGGTGCAATTTTTGGGAGGCAAGCTAAACCGACTGGTTCAAAATTGATCCGTCGAGTTATAAACAGGGGAGGGACGAGATCTTCTTGTTTGGAAGACCGAGAGAATTGATAGCCTGCAAGAGTCTTGACTCAAAAACAGAGGCGAGTGGGACTTGGGTAGAGAGAGGGTGAGTGGATGTCGGTGTCGTGCCGACCTACATACTCTGATACTTAAGTTAGTATGTGAGCTTAAGAGGAGAGAAGTAAAGAGTGATTTTAGCATAGAGCAAGGTACCATAGAAGGTCAGTGACCCTTTTTATTTTATAGGGTTGGTAGTAGTATAAATGGTCCTTTGAAAGTCATCGAGCAACTTATAAACTGCTTAATATGGCGTGGATGTGGCTACTTGCTCAATAAAACAGTTATAGACCGCTCGATATTGTGTAGAGGTGGATACACACACCTACAGAGTCGTACAATATGGACTAAGAGCCTAGGCTGCCTCTTAGACTCGCCCAAATCTAAGTTAAGCCGTCCTACGGGCCACCTTATAGAAACGCCGCAATTCGCCCTATATAGAAGCTGGTTGTTGGCCGCCCAATAAAGAGGTTGCGGGCTGCCCTATATTGAGGTCGAGGTGTCCCTTGAGATCGCTCTTGAGGCCGAGGTAATCTATAAGTCGAGCTCCTACCGAGGCCGAGGTGATGCTGCAGTGATGACCGAGGTGACCTATTGGGCAAGCTCACATTTGTGATAAAATTGAGGTTACATCTTAGGTCAGGTCACCCCACCATGTTTTTGCTATCTCTTTCCTTTTTCACTCTTCTGCTAGTCAAAACATCTCTCTAAATAATTTAAAAATATTATTGATTGAATAGCTAAATATTAATTTTGTATATTCATGTTCTAATAAATATTTTTTAAGATATACGTCCAAAATGTTACTTATTCAAGTGACACACATTCTAATATGTCTAATTGCACGCACTATATTATGAAATAGATAGACATGGAATCAAATTAATCTTCCCTGTAAACTAAACCAAAAAGTTAAGGGAGGAGGAATTAACAAAACAAGATGTGAATATTGTAACCAAATCTACTTTTGCCACCATAATCTGCTTAGTTTCACTGTAACAATTGTGTTATAAAGGGGAAAGGAAAGGTTGGGCAAATAAAATTGGATATTGAATAAAATCCATTCGTCATTTCATATACCATAAAAGAGCTGAAGACAGGTGGCCATTTTTGGAAGCAGGTCCAACTCCATTGATAATAATGCATCTTTATACATATATATTAATTTAATCATGGGAATCAAGGTTTAGGTCCATCCAAACTTTTTGGTCGGTCTATGATGCGTGTAAAGGATTTTATTTTAATTATAATTATAAGCACTTAACCGCAGCAATTAGGATCTAACATGGAAAAGAAAAGATGGATAAATTAATTAATTGGAGTGAAAAGTCCAAATGAGTTTGAGAGAGATACGAGTATAAAAGGCTCGGAAAGCCAGGGGATCCAGGGCAGAATTGATATTTTGAGTGTCGTACAATAATTAAGTCAAAACTATCCGCTCGAGAGAAAAAGAAAAAGAAAACAAAAAATGAAGGGTGACTGGAGCAGGTGGGCCCCGCCACCAGACCATTATTGGCTCTTCGGGGAATCAAAAGTCAGAATAAAGTTGTTGGTGGTTTCTGTCTAAGCACCGGGCGACGAAGGGTTACCTGTCTCCACAATGCTTACTGCCTGCTCCGGTAATCCCCTTCCACTCTCCAGTTTTCAATTTAATTATAATGTGGTTAAATTTATTTTTATTTTTTTGCTTCATCTTTAATATTTTAATTTAGTCTCTCGATTAATAATATTAAGATGGGCTAATAAAGGTCGGGGGATTTTTTTTAATAATACTTTATTTTAAACTTATACTAAATATGTATCAACACCCAAACTATTTCTTAGAATAATAATTGAAAAATTATACGTCGTACGGTTGAGATATGCTCATGTAAGCAAAAATAAATTCTATTTTTTATTATAATAGAGCCTTGAACCCAACACGTTAAAGTGATGATTTTATACAATTATGGCACATGTCATCTTTCATACCAAAATAAAAAATAAAAAAATAAAACGCAGCAAGACACCATACAACTCGGAAATTGTGAAGTGGCAGGTCATCTCTTTCCAATAATTATCCTTCAAAATAGTTTGAGATTGATATATATTTAAAATAAAGCATTATTAAAAAAAATTCATAACAAGTCTGCATAGAATAATCAAATAATAGCTAGTAAATTTATTAAACATTTAAAGGGGAAGAAATGTCATTTGGGAGAGAATTTTCTAATTTCTAAAAAAATGAGGGTAAACTTCGAATTTTATTCTCTTTGGAAGCTTATGATCAGATAATTTTAACATTTATATGGGTAAAAAATATTAAAATATAACATATAAATTTAAATCTTTTAAATAATGGTGGCTAAATGGAAAAAACTAACTAATAATATATATTTAGCTTAAAAGATATTAATAAATTAGAAGAAAAATAAGATATAGCCTCAAAAACGGTTTCTAAAATCGTTTTTATTTTATTTTATTTTTTAATTTATAATAGAAGTTAATACTTTGTGAATTTTTTATTGTTTTAGAAGAAATAATTTCATCTTGTTTTAAAAATAAATCATTTGTCAGACTCGTATCATACTAAACAAATTTGAGGAAAAATAACAAGTATTTTTTCTTTTACAGATTTTTGAAATTTTATTCTAAAAATATTTTTCAAATAACTCCAATTTCTTTTCCTATCTGTTTTTGTAGAAATTTGTATTTTCAACTTAAATGACTAGTCGCTGTTTTTCATTTTGAAATATTAGTTTTTTCGTAGTACAATAATATTTTAAAATATTAGTTTGTTAAATAGGCATTTGAAAGGGACATGAACTAATTTAAAAAACATATGTAATTATTGGTTAATATGATTCAACCAAGAGATTATGAATTCGATAATTGTATTAAAAAAACATGATTAATTCACTCCTTTCAAAATTTAATAATAGATATAATTTAAGTAGCGAAACTCATATATACACAACAGACCCAACTTATTTATTTATTAGGACATTTACTTACCTCCCAAAACTTCTTTGTACTAAAAAATAATTTAAAATTTTTAATAAATGCAATGCGGTTTATCGAGAAAATTTATCTTTTCCACTGATGATTTAAATTTTGATTCTAATATTTGTAATGTCATATTGGATTGGAATAAGCCCAAAATTGTAGAGATTAGAGTATAATTTAAACATTTTTACGAATACAATAAAGAAAACTACTTTGGTTATTTTCTTAATCTAAACCTTTATATGTCTTCGCTATTTAATAATTATTCAATTATTCTCCAAAAAGTAAAACAAAGTAAATAGTGAGAAAAATAAAAGTTATAGTTTCTCTAATTTCAAAAAATTCACCTTAAGAATTTGAATTTTCCTCATCCAAGGAATTCAAATTGGGGAAGATATTCAAATAAGCTTAAGTTTTCCTCTCTATATCTTAGTGACATGAGTTTTTTTCCTTTTTTTCACTCTAAAAATCGAAGAAAACTAATCATAATGGTGTGTTACAAAACTTTACTTTTTGCCATATTTACATAAAATTCCAATTATGACCTAAAGTATTTGGAGTGTGCAATTTTTCTTTTTTAAGGTTTTGTCGAATCTCTTTTATCGTAGAATATTAGTGTAAATTTAATAATTTCGATAGGTTAAATTTATGCCTCAACAATGTCCGTATAAGTCTTGTCATGGTTCAATCAATGAAATTAATGTGTCATTTCAGATACAATATGACAATAAGAGCATTGTATTAATTTTGAGAATATTTTTTTAAAATAACAATACAAAAGAATTTATCATAACTTAAAGTAGAACATTGAATCAAATGGTAATTATATATTTAAGGCATTAGGCTTGACAAAGACAGAAGAATAAGAGTTAGCTGTTAGAAAGAGAATTGATTGAATTTATGTGGAAACTTATAGTACAAAAACAAGAATTAATGGAAAACCGAAAAGTCCACTATCTTTTCAACTTTCATATCTAAATACAGTGCACATTTATAAAGTTTTTAATTTGCAACCACGCTAACTTTAACATAGCATATTTATAAAGCCTACACAAATAAGGTATCAGTTATTTTATAATTAATCAGTCCTTATCTTAATTAAAATATTTTAGTTAACGAATGTTCTATTTAGGTAAGCCAAACGCGCGCCAAAGAAAGCTGCTTCAATACCAACGTCTTCTTCTCCCCCAACCATTTATTTGTAGGGTTGTCACAAAATCCCCAGATTAATATATTCTAAGAAATTAAGCAAAATCTTCCAAACAAATTGTTGAATTGGTTAAGAACATAGGAATATATGTATTACATCTTGAACAAAATATAAGTATATACCAAAACCTTATCC